TTTTTTTGGTTTTTCGAGACAGGGTTTCTCTGCAGCTTTGGAGCCTGTCCTGGAACTAACTCTTGTAGACCAGGCTGGTCTCGAACTCACAGAGATCCGCCTGCCTCTGCCTCTCGAGTGCTGGGATTAAAGGCGTGCACCACCACTGCCCGGCTAGCTGGAGTGTTCTTAAATAAGCCCCTCATCTGTGGGTCTCCATCTCTCCTAATGAAGGATGGGTGTCAGCACCAAGGTGTGGAACACAGAAATTCATGTAGACTAGGTATGTTAGGTATGTACTCTTCCACTCAACTACAACCCCAGACTACAGGTTTTCTATGCTCAAGTTCTGGACAACTCACTAGCAGGGACTCACTGCTCACCCACTCCCCGGCACATGCATAGAGAGAGCACACCCACACACCCTCCAGCCTAGTAGAGCAGGGGGCAATGGCCTGCCCATCTATGTCTATGGTGCCTGCTGGGGGATACAGGGAAGGTGGGAGAGTAAGACATTGGATCCCACTTTAAGATGGAGATGACAGAACAGGCCCAGAAAGGTCATCAAGTCATGTGATGAGGAAGTTGCAGAGGCAAGGAATAAAAAGAAGCAAAGAAAGAATGGGTTCAAAGGTATTTGGAAGACCAGCTTCCCTGCCAACACTGGCATCTGGGCACCATTGGCCAACACCTTTCGTAGGCACCAAAGAACAGGTTTTTTTTCTTTTTTTGATTTTTCGAGACAGGGTTTCTCTGTGGCTTTGGAGCCTGCCCTGGAACTAGCTCTGTAGACCAGGCTGGTCTCGATCTCACAGAGATCCGCCTGCCTCTGCCTCCCGAGTGCTGGGATTAAAGGTGTGCGCCACCATCGCCCGGCAAGAACAGGTTTTGGCATAGGCGATTTGTGCCAGCACTGCCCCTGAGTCTTGGTAGGACCCCCTTCTTCACTCTGTGCCTCCACATCCCCATCTAGTGAGAAAAAGCTGGACAGTGTTGTGTCCTGTAAAAAGAGGTAAGAACAGGGTAAGCATCTTTTGTCTAGATGTGTGAAAAGAGAGAATTCCAAGAATGCTGAGCATACAAATAACTCTCACATAGGAGCAGAGTAACATAAGAGGGATGCTAAGGAGTGACAGAGTGTGAACATCCCTGCGGTGTGCACTCTTAAGGGTCTAAGCCTAGCACCAAGGCAGAGAGCTGGGAGGTGGCTCAGTCTATATCGTTAGTGGAACAATCGGAGATTTCCTGGGTCCCCTCCCTGCCTAGTACACAAAATAGATGTGAAAACGGTTTGTAAGGGCAAAGGACTTTTTACGGAACCAAAAAGCAGAACTGAGCTATTTGCAGAAGCGGATGCTGGAGAGCTCCCTTGGGAGCAGGAGGAATGTTGCCTGATGGGAAGTCACATGTCAAAGAACAACCTGGAGTGTGGAGAGCTGATTAGGTCATCAGTTGCCATGCTGTCTCAATTTGGGCCTGTTTCCCGATCTGTGTCACCTGTGGCAGGGTCTCTGCTGCAGAAGCAGTAGCCCCGCCCATCCTCAGGATGATGGAGGCCATTCTGGAGTCATGGGGCCTCCTGCTGAGCCCACTATTCATCCCTGAGGTTCCGGGGCAACTATAGACTAAAATTTTAAGGCTCGTCTCTCAAGGCCTGGAGGAAGGATGGGGTTGGCAGGGTCGGGTTGAACACAGCCAAGTCTGAGGAAGTGGTCCAGAGTGGAACTCCATCCCTTCATCTGATGGCTCAGCCTCCAAAGCAGCCCTGCCTGCCTGTGGGTGGCTACGGTGTCCTCATCTTCGCTCAGCCTCAATGCCATTCGAGAAGTCCACCATTCTAGGGTCAGTAATGCTGCATTTGAAGAGGGGCTGAGCACACACACTGAATGCATGGGAGATGCCAGCCCATTTCGCCCTGTGTTAGATGCTCAGCACTGATCTGGTCCTTGCTCTTGTGGCAGGCATGCAGAAAGCAAGCACACTAATTAAGTGATTACCAAGTATGAACAGGAGTGTGAAGGACCAGGAATAAGGAGATGAGGGCTGGGCTAAGTTGGTTGGAGGGTGGACCCCCTTTACTTAGCCTTGGGGAAGTCTCTTAGAGGGATAGCATATAGGCCAAGACCTGCGGGTTGAGAAGGAAGCTTCTATGTCACAAATGAGGAACAGTATTCCAGAGAGAGAAAACTGCTGATGAAAGACCCTCCAACGAGGACCAGTGGGGAATCAACCTTTGTTCAGCTATAGTCCCCCATCAGCCAACAGAATCTTCAGCATAGAAGAGAATACTATTGCCTGCCTTTGTGGAGGATGGATGAAGGGAGGGAGATGAAGGGGAGGAAGGCAGAAGCTGCAGCTGGAGGACTTACAGAACCTCTGGTTGAGAGGTCTGCATCTGATTTCCAGAGCCCAGGCAAAGCTGAGGATATCAAGAACGAAGTGGCAACCTCAGACTTTTCCTTTCTGCTCACGCAAAGGAGAACGCTGAGGAAGACAGAGGGGAAAGAGCAAGACATAGCAATGACCCAGACGTTATGGTGGCTTGTCCTGAGAGGCCTGTCCAGGAAGAGGACTTCCTTCACAAAAGCTGGTCCCTGCTGCTAATAAAGCTGTCTGGATGTCAGAACAACTCTGGAGGCTCTAAATACAAGATCTGCTGGGGGAAGGGGACACATTCCACAACACAAAAATCTCCTGCCACTTTCTAACTAGGTCATTCCCAGCTACATCTGAGAGCCGAGGTGTCAGGTGCGGCTTCTGCTGCAAGGAAAGCCAGCTTTAAAGACATAGTCTTCCTTCTCTCTCTCCCTCTCCTTCCCACCTACCTCACCCAGTTCCTCCTGGCTGGCCTCTTTCTCCTCACCTGGGTGGGCACTGGCTGGGAGGCATGCAGCAGAGGAGAGATCGTGAGCTGGAGATTGTTGCTTTACTTGACAGACCCTCGGCAGGCTGTGGATCCTGGCTAGAACCATATGCCGCCATACCCTAGCTGTGTGAGCTTGGGTAGGCCACATGACCTCTCTAAGCCTCTTTAATTTTATCTGTAAAACGTGTCCAATAATAGACCCTTTCATCTCTTGGGGTGGTTATAAGAGCTAAGTGAATTGACCCAAGAGGAGCTCTTTGCATAGTGACTACATGATGAACTCCTACTAAGTGCCAGCCTGGGCAGGAGAGGGTTGATTAGTACTAGTCCTTGGTGGGATTACAGATGGCAACTGGCAGGCATAAGCAACTTGACAGAGGTGGATAGTGACAGAGATGGCTAAACAAGAGGCGGTGAGTAGGCTATCACTGTATGTCACTCCAAGTGCTGCACTGGAGTAGGGAGAAACAAGGTTTCCTGGAGGAGGTGGCCTTGGAGAAGGCACAGCATTTGAAATGGTAAAGATGCAGTAGAGAGGGCAGGACAGGAAAAGGGCCCAGGATGTAGAGGCAGGAAGTGTGAGGTTTAGGCCTGCTGTACAACCTGCCAAGAAGTGGCACTGAGCACCCAGTGACCCGCCCGATGCTGGGCTGTGCTTTACAAACACTGTGGCTTCCAGAAATTATCCAAGCTAGGGGCCGGTAGAATAGCTCAGAGGTAAAAAGCACCTGCTACTCAAGTCTGACAACTCAAGTTTGAGTCCTAGAGCCTACAGGAAGGGGGAAAGAGACGGCTGACTACTCAGCTGTCTTCTGGAATCCACACGGGGTGTGAGCATGCAACTCCCCATGCTAATAAATAAAATTCAAAAGGAAGGAAGGAAGGAAGGAAGGAAGGAAGGAAGGAAGGAAGGAAGGAAGGAAGGAGAAGGAAGGAAAAAGAAATGATCCAAGCTAATGAGCCTCTAGCTACATACAACGCAACCCCAGAGGTAAGTCTCCCAAGCTTCACGTTCTAAGTCCCTGGGCTCCAAGCAAACTTCCAGGAGAGTGTCAACACTGAGTGGGATCAGTTTTCTGCAGGACTCTAGATGCCTCAGAATCAGGGCACCCAGAAATGGGGGTCCAGGGGCAGTCATGCGCCTGCCCTAATAAGGGAGGTCTGGCAGTGCTTTAGAAGATGGGTGGAGGTCATGAAAGGTCAGAGGCGAGAGTCCAGGTTAATGGCTGTGGCTATGGAGTAAGGGACGGCGTGAGGGGTTGTGTTCATCCTTTCGTGTGCCTCATTTTCCACATCTGGAGCTGAGGAGTTAGACAGGATGCAAACCCGTTACAATAACCCCATCATCTGGGCAGACTGAATCAGTGTTCAGCCACGAGGGATCAGACAGGGCCTCTGGCGCAGGACAATTATAACCTCCTGACAGAAAGGCTCATAATTTTTTGTTTTGTTTTGTCTTTTGTTTTTCAAGACAGGAATTCTCTGTGTTGTTTTGGTGCCTGTCCTAGAACTAGCTCTTGTAGACCAGACTGGCTTTGAACTCACAGAGATCCGCCTGTCTCTGCCACCCGAGTGCTGGGATTAAAGGCATGGGCCAAGACTCATATTTTAAACACATGTGGCCAGACGAACAATGGAACCCCTTGCAATTATCTGCACCCTGGCCTCAGAAGTGACAGCTAACACTTGTTCGTGTAGTGCAGCCTAACTGAAGCCCACCCCAGGCCCCCGCTCCTCTGTCTGGCACCCTTTCTTAAAATAAAACCAAATCAAATCACAATCTGGCCTTGGTGACTCCTATTGCTTAGAGTCAGGAGCACTGACCCAGTGGGGAAGACAGCCAAGCTTCAAACCACTAGCCTGAAATGCTGCCTGGACCGTCATGGACCCCTAGGGAGGGACCCTAGAAACTTGTGGAGATTGAGCTCTTTCTCCTCTTCCGGTGTCCAGAGGTGTCTCCGCCCCTTCATTTTCCTGGTTTATCCATCTAATAAAATGCCTTAAGCACATATTGATGCCAGGCACTGAGCTGGTGCCCCCAGGCAGTTTGGGTCAGACAGACGTGGCCCTGAAGCTTTGGGGAACAGACAACGTGTAGGAGAACAAATTGGAATTTGTCGCTGTTCTAAAAGACACCCAGTAGAAGTCATCAAAGGAGTGGAGGTGGGGAGTCTAATTTGGGAATCACAAAGGGCCTCTCATTCAGCTATGGACTGAAGGTGAGAAGGAGCCAGGCGGGCAAAGAGTCAGAGGGAAGAGAAAAGAACCTGGACATAAGACCTGAAGAAGACTTGGCGGGCCAAGGAGTTCAAAGCGGGCTGGGTCCTGGAGCTTAGTGGCCAAGGGGAGTGGCCTGGGGTGAGGTCCAGAGCGGGGAGTTATAGAGTCTCCTAGAGGAGAGAGCTGTACATCCTAAACAGGATAGGAAACCACACAAAAAAATTTGAATGGACTCATCTGCATCTAGAACATTCCTTATAGCCTCAGGACCTCACTTTCCTCGTCAGTGTATCTGCTCTTGTCCAAAGCTCAGAGGACTCAAGGGAGGAGGAGCTCAGAGAGAAGGGAGGAAAGCTGAAGACTGTGTGACCAGTGTCACTGGGCACTGGGGGGTGGGGCACACAGTGAACATCCCTCAGCTGTCCTAGACAACAGCACTGTACAAGAGTCCTCTCTGGAAACCTGTGCCTTCAGTGCCGCGGAGTAAAAACAGGGCAGAAGAGGGGGAGGGGAAGAGCTCAGACCCCCTCCCCTGGCTTCCACTCGGTCCTACTGGAGCATGAGAAAGATGCCCATGGCTTGAGCAGACTAGAAGGCCAGCCTCTTGCATCCTCAGCCAAATGTCTGGTTCCCCAGAAGTCTTCCTCAAGCCTCCTGGGATCCAAGCCTGAAGTCCTGCCCTCTACTCTCAGAGCTAAGAGAAAAACACTTTTGCCTCTGGATAGTCACAGCCCTATCTGCATGCAGGGAACAATGTATAAGTGACGGGTGCCTGGGAGTAGAACTGGGCTTGGAGTTCATGCCCACCGGTAAATGAGGTTGGTGGGACCTCAGATCTCACCCAAGTTGGAAGACCACACTCCTTTCTTGCCCTACATGCCCACTCCTTCCTGCTCACACTGCTGCACAACGATGGCCTTTCTCCAAGGCTCTACCCGAGGGGAACCTCCCCATCCTTCTCCAGAGCCACCTGACCCACAGAAAGTGGCTAGTGGAAGATTAGAAATTGTGCCTGCCTTCCTAGACTTCCGTAGCGGACCACAGGGTGCTGGGGGACGAGGCCTCTATTCGTCCTCCCCTGTCACTCAGTGAGAAGCTCTTCCCCATGCTTTTCACGGACAAGACTTCAGAGGGCCTACACACACACACACACACACACACACACAGAGCCCACATCATCTACCAAAGGAGAAACCATCGTCTTCTCCATCAGCTTTTTCAAGACTCTTTTTTTGCAGCTTGAAGCAGGGTAGAAGTCGCCATGTAACTTTCCCCTGTCCCGTGTTAATTGGCCATAAAACGAGACCAAGAAAAGGTGAGCCATCCAGGGAATCGGTTGGACAGAGGATTAGGGCACAGGTAGGGTGTTTGGTCCCCAGCTGGGGCCTTGGACCAGTGTTGACCATCATTGTACCGTAGTGTGTTCATCTTCCAAATAGGAAGGGACAGCACCCACAGCAGTATCTCATGGAAGACTTCCAAGATGTCCACTGCTATTATTAGTCAAGGCCCAGAAGTGAGTGGTCCAGCCTTGCCTCTCAAACATCCCTGAAGTCAGACAGGAGCTTCTGTGACCCTTGGACTGCTAAGGAGCTGCTACGGATCAAACCCTCCCCGCAGCTGCCCAGAGGAGTCGATGGGTGTGTGGGAAAAATGGAGGGAATGGGGAGGAGGTGGAGGAAGTTCCGGGCCGGCTCCCAGCTGGGGGAAGGGAAGGAGGGGCTGAACATCAAAGAGGAGGCAGGCCAGCTTCCCGCCCTCAAGGCCAGGTGGCCTTTGTCAGGACAGGCCAAACACAATCTGGACAATGAGGTATCCTGTATACTTTCCTGCCAACAGGAGTCACTACTGAGCTAAAGCAAAGCCGGTTACATGACAAAGGGGGGCACCTAGAAAGGTCAGGCTGTCCGTCATTAAGCTGAACCTTTGTCCAGCCCCGTCCCCTGCCTTTGAAGAGGGTGGATCAGAGAGGCCTGCCTGGGGGCAGGAGCTTCACAGGCTAAGGAGCCAAACAGCAGCCACCTTCCCAACTGCTCCTACTGCCCCTCCCCCGGGGTCAAGAGTTCAGGGAGAGTCCTGGGGAGGCTAGGTAGGGACCCCTGTACCAATGCAACCAATGGGGGCTTTGTCAACCAAAGGATAGGCTCCTATCTCTTCACTGTATGGTAGGGAGCCAGTTGGTCCTGCAGAGGTGACCCGTGCACGTTCCCACAGCTGATAGGTGCTTGGGTGTGCGTGTGGCGGGTTTAGGAGTGGAAGAAGCTACCTATGAAAGAAAGATCACCATTGCCAATGCTGCTGCGGGATTTGGCGTCTGGCCTTCTAATTCCGACCTTGCCACTCACACACACCCATGTCCTCTCTTCACGGGGTAGCAGTCTCCCCATCTATACAGAAGAATTCAGTTGTGTTGCTCAAAGCTCGCAAAGCCCCTAGATAAGAAAGGGCGAAACAAAATGACTCTCCAGGGCAGAGGTGGTAGTGGGCCACACTCTTTTGAGAAGCCAGTCAAGGCCAGGACAGAGGTCAAAGAGAGGGCAGCCTGGGCACCTGCCAGGGCCAGGAGCCCGTCAGAAAGCCCAGGGCGGGAGAAGGGTCCTTACCGCTGCCACCGCTGCCTGCGGTCGCCACGCTGCGCCGCATCCATTCGTAGGGCGTCCGTCTCTGCGCTCCTGGCGAGGACGGTGCGCCCGGGCCGCCGAGGGACTGCGCCAGGAGGCCAGGACCAGGCCCGGGAGGCGCTGGCACCGGGCTAAAGTCCGGAGGGGGCCCAAAGCCCAGCGGGGCCGGGCTGGCGGCGGGGGCCGCGGGACCCGGGCCATAGGCAGCTGCCCAGTCGTCCTTGGGCGCAGGGAAGGGCGCGGCCCAGGTCGGAGGGGGCGCAGGCGCGGGCTCCACGTGCGTGTAACCCGCGAAGTCGGGGTACTGCGGGGGTGCAGGCGCCGGGCCGGGTGGCGCGTAGGCCGGAGGGCCCAGACCGAAGCTGGATGGCCTGGCGGGGCCTGGATACACGGGGGAGTCCTTGTCCAGCACATAGCCCACGTACATGGTGACCGCAGGGTCCCCCGCGCATGCTGGGCCCTGGAGCCGCCTCGCCGGCCGGCCGCCCCGACGACCAGCGACTGCTCACCTTATCTTCTAATTTCTTATTTTACGCATGCATTACTTTCATAGCAAAAATAATGAAAAGGATAATTATTTTTAGAGATGCAGCGTTCTCTGGAGTTAAATTAAACTTCTCATCTATCAGTTAATGTTTCTTTTGCCTGTTTAACGATATTTTCATCAATCTTTAAATACATTAATTGGTTGAAATTTAGGCTTCTCAAGTAAGATTTTGTTTTCTGTTTTAGTTTCATTTTTTTTTTTCACTTCTGGGTAGGAAGCTGGCAGCCCGAAGATCCTAGGAGATTGCCCTACCAACTCCCCCTGCCCAGGACGGATGTACAGCTGAGGTGTGGCTCAGTGACAGCGTATCTGCTTAGCAGGAGTCAGTCTCTGGACCTCATCTGCAACACTGTGGAACCCAAAGTAATTTCTGTGCATGCTTGACGGCTCTCATGTGACTAGATTTTCTGTTTTTTTTTTTTTAATTTTTAAAATTTATTCTTCTCTCACATATTACATCCCTACCTCAGTTTCCCCTCCCTCCTCTTTTCCCAGTCCCTTCCTCCAACCTTCCCATTCCCCCAGATCTCCCTCCTCCATTTCCCTTCAGGAAAGACCAGACCTTCCAGGGATATCAACCAAGCATGCCACAAGTTACAGCAAGACTAGGCACCTCCCCTCATGCCAAGGCTATGTGGGGCAACCCAGTAGAGGAAAAGGGTTCCAAAAGCAGGCAAAAGAGTCAGGATAGCCCCACCTCTACTGTTGGGAGTCCCACAAGAAGATCAAGCTACACAGCCATAACATATATGCAGAGGACCTGACTCAGACCCACACAGACTCCCTGGTTGTCACTTCAGTCTCTGTGAGTTCCTATGAGTCCTGCTTAGCTGATTCTGTGGGCTGTGTTCTTGTGGTGTCCTCTACCCCTCTGGCTCCTTCAATCCTTCCTCCCCCTCTTCTGCAGAATTCCCCAAGCTCCACCTAATGTTCAGCTGTGGATCTCTGCATCTGCTCTTATCAGTTGCTGGATGAAACCTCTCTGATGAAGATGGTGTTAGGCTCCGGTCTACTCACATAGCAGGATTTTTTCACTGATGACTTCTTCTTCTTCTCCTTCTTCTCCTTCTTCTCCTTCTTCTCCTCCTTCTCCTCCTTCTCCTCCTTCTCCTCCTTCTCCTCCTTCTCCTCCTTCTCCTCCTTCTCCTCCTTCTCCTCCTTCTCCTCCTTCT